GAGCACTTTGGGGCCAATGATCATAATTCTATTAGTTTCAAAATAGTGATGGAAAAGGATCTAAGAGTTAAAGATCTAAATTGGAGGAAGGCCAATTTTGACTGTATTAGGCAAAAACATTTCAAAGTTGACGTGGGGGCAGTGGGCAGATTATTCGCAGGTAAAGGGACGGCTGAGAAGTGGAAAACCTTCAAAAATGAGATGACAAGACTCCAGAGACAGTAAGTTTCTGTTAGGGCGAAGGGTAAGGCTGGTAGGTTTAGGGAATCCTGGATAATGGAAGAAATTGAGGTTTCGGCCAAGCATAAGGAGAAAGCATAAGTCAGTATAGACACCAGAGGTCGACTGAATCCCTAGTACAGTATAAAGGCAGTAGAAGCACACTTCTGAGGGAAATCAGGACGGGAAAAAAGGGGACATTAGATAGCTTTGGCAAATTGGGTAAAGAGGAATCCAAAGGGATTCTACAAATATGTTAAGGACAAGAGAGTAACTAGGGAGAGAATAGGGTCCCTTAAAGATCAGCAAGGCTGCCTACCTGTGGAACTGCAGGAGATGGGGGAAATACTAAATGAGTATTTTGTTTACTGTGGAGAAGGATATGGAAGCTACAGAATATTTGAAAATAAATAGCGACATCTTGGAAAACGTCCATATTATAGAAGAGGTGGTGCTGTATGTTTTAAAACGCATATGGGTGGATAAATCCCTGGGACCTGATCAGGTGTACCCTAGAACTTTGAGGGAAGCTAGGGAAGGGATTGCTGGGCACCTTGCTGACATAGTTGTATCATTGATAGTCAGAGGGGAGGTGCCATAAGACTGGAGATTGGCTAACGTGGTGCCACTATTAAAGAAAAGTGATAAGGAAAAGCCAAGGTTCTGCAGACCGGTGAGCCTGACATCAGTGGTTGGCAGACCGTTAGAAGGACAGGATTTACATGTATTTAGAAAAGCAAGGACTGATTAGGTGGTAGTCAACATGACTTTGTGCATGGGAAATCGTGTCTCACTAACTGGATTGAGTTTTTTGAAGAAGTAATGAAGACGACTGACGAAGGCAGAGCAGTGGACGTGATTTATATGGACTTCAATTAGGCGTTCAACAGGGTTCTGCATGGTAGACTGGTTAGTAAGGTTAGACGTCATTTAATACAGGGAGAAATAGCCATCTGGATACAGAACTAGTGCAAAGGTAGGACACAGAGGGTAGTGGTGGAGGGTTGCTTTTTGGACTGGAGGCCTGTGACCAGCGATGTGCCACAAGGATCAGTGCTGGGTCCACTGCTTTTTGGCAGTTATATAAATGATTTGGATGTGAACTTAGGAGGTATGGTTAGTAAGTCTGCAGATGACACCAAAATTGGTGGCATAGTGGACAGCCAAGATGGTTAGCTCAGTGTACAACCGGACCTTGATCAGATGGCCATGGGCTGAGGAGTGGCAGATGGAGTTTAATTTAGATAAATGTGAGGTGCTGCATTTTGGAAAGGTAAATCAAGGCAGGACTTATACACTTCATGGTAAAGTCCTGGGGAGCATTGCTGAACAAAGAGACCTCGGAGTGCAGGTTCACAGTTCCTTGAAAGGTAGACAGGTTATTGAAGAAGGCATTTCGTATGCTTGCTTTTATTGGTCAGTGCATTGAGTCTCTGAGTTGGGAGTCACGTTGCAGATGTACAGGACATTGGTTAGGCCATTTTTGAAAACTGCATTCAATGCTGATCTCCCTGCTTCAAAAAGTATGTTGTGAAACTTGAAAGGGTCCAGAAAAGATATACAAGGATGTTGCCAGGGTTGGAGGGTTTGAGCTAGAGGGAGAGGCTGATTACACAGGGGTATTTTCCCTAGAGCATCAGAGGCTGACAAAGTTTGTAAAATTTTGAAGTTTATAAAATCATGAGGGGCATAGAAAGGGTGAATAGACAAGGTCTTTTCCCCAGGGTAGGGGAGTCCAAAACCAGAGGGCATAGGTTGAGGATGAGAGGGGAAAGATTTAAAAGGGAACCAACAGGCAACCTTTTCACATAGAGGGTGATGGGTGTATGGAATGAGCTGCCATAGGAAGTGACGGAGGCTGGTACGATTACGCAATTTAATACAGATCTGGATGGTTATATGAATAGGAAGGGTTTAGAGGGATATGGGCCAAATGCGACTGGATTAATTTGGTCAGCATGGGCAACTTGGACTGAAAGGTTTGTTTCCATGCTGTACAGCTCAATGACTCTATGACTCTAAATGCAGTGAAACGAAAACCAACTCTTATCTTCTTACCAAAGCCGATAACCAAACTCTTTGCTGCTGGATGCGATTAATCTTTTAAAGTGCAATATTCAAAATAGGCTTTATAAAGAATTGTGCATTTTTCACTTACAGTAAAAGTAGAATTAAAGGGAACATTTACAATGTGCTTCATCACATCACCGTCAACACTCCCTTCCCTGGGAGGCACACATTTCAGGAAAAAAAATACATCTGATTTTGGACCATTTCATGCAGATGTCCTTCCCATTCAGTGTTTGAAGCTTGAGGTTGATGAAACATAAAACACATCTATTCCCATCAATCAGATTATGTTGCTCTTTATTCAGAAATATGATCTTGGTGATATTCGAGCTGTGATAACAGCCATTTCACGGAGATTTTCAGCAATGTTCACTAGTCTATATACCTTCTACTGGCAACTTCCCTGTAATATAGAAACCATTTCTTATGCTGCAGCCAACCCAACAATTGCATCTCAGCATTTATAGGATGCTTGATAACTACCATCCACCACTAACTATTCTCATGAAAATCTTGTGTTGTTTCCTTTCATCAAATCAGGCTAAGCCTATTGATGTGACAGGCATTAGCGTAAAGAAACTTCAAAAAACACTTACAAGGATGTTGCCAGGGTTGGAGGGTTTGAGCTATAGGGAGAGGCTGAATAGGCTGGGGCTGTTTTCCCTGGTGAGTTGGGGACTGAGGGTTGACCTTATAGAGGTTCATAAAATCACGATGGGCACGGATAGCATGAATAGCCAAGGTCTTTTCCTCGGGGTAAGGGAGTCCAAAACTAGAAGGCGTAGGTGGGAGAGAGGGGAAAGATACAAGAAGGGACTTAAGGGGCAACTTTTTTCACGCAAAGGGTGGTGCATGTATGGAATGAGCTGCTAGAGGAGGTGTACAATTACAACATTTAAATGGCATCTGGATGGGTATATGAAGGGTTTAGAGGGATACAGGCCAAATGTTGGCAAATGGGACTAGATTTATTTAGGATATCTGGACAAGTTGGACCGAAGGATCTGTTTCCATGTTGTATATCTCTATGACTCATTCCCTTGTTATTCTGGAAGGTTCTCCTCTTCATAGCTGCTTGGAAAGTCAGGGCAGATTTGCTACACCTATGTTCCATGGTGTCTGGTGTAATATGCAAGGCCTGTCCTGTTTGAAAGATATTTGTCACTCATACTATGGAAGCAGATGATGGGTGTTTCTCGGATAATTCATGGTTGTTCCTAACTTCTCCCCCTTATCTCCATAGAAGACAGGCTGTAAATTAACTGTTTGAGCCATCCATTACCAGGTCTGGCTGATCCAAAGCTTCAGCAATTATCATTCCCTTTTGCCAAAATTAGCCACCCATTCCTTTAGGGTCATCCTGTAAAGCTCCTTTTCTCTAAGACTAGAGTTGAGATATAGGTAAGCAAACAAATGGTACAGCCAGCTTGGGAAGCTGAATGGCCCAGTCCAGTTCCTATATATTAATCTTCTCCTTAAACTCTTTTCACTTTCCTGTCCACCTTGTCTTCAACAAGGATAACATGGATATCTTTAAGACTGAAACCATCATTCAACTAACATTTCTGGTTAGTTCTATTCCTACCTAACCAATCATTGACTGTAGAAATGGTCTCTCCGCTCTGTCTTATAATATGACTGCTGAAATTTTACAGGTCCTAGCCCTGGCCACCTCCTCTTTCTGATTACAAATGTGAAGCAAGCTTCTATATGTATACTGACAATATCAGTGATATCCCTCCACCACCAACAACCCATACTCGGTCTCCATATTAGCAAACTTATCTCTCAACATCCAATCTTCAATAATCTGCAATTCCCACCAAATAAAAACAGGGATAACCAAAGCCATTTACAGCCCTCACAAACCGCCTACCTCTACCATCAATTGCATTCCTCTTTTCCCCACCTTCTCTCTCAGGTTGAACCAGAATCGTTCAAAATCTCAGTGTGCTACTCAACCCTGAACTGTGCTTCCAACCTCAACCCTGATTCAACTCACATTCTCGTATCATGTACTTTAGTTCATCGAAAACTCAGTTAATCACTCATTCTGCAACCTACTGACAGCAGAATAAGAGTTCAAAGTCTTGAATTTTACACTATGAGATTTGTAAGAAAAAGTTAAATTGCCACTTGAAATTTCTGTATTCTAAATTATCTAGATGAGTTAACAAAGATTCGATCCCATCTTACCTGCAAGTTGGTAAACCTGCCAGAAACCCACCCTACCATGATAATTGAAGTCTTTGTTTCAACTTTCAAAAACAATACTTTGCCTGGAAAGCTCTGCCACTGAACCTATACAAAACTATTTAGGTGACAGGTTAGTAAGAGAATGCAAATATGGAATACCCTAACATTTTAAATTGTGACTAATGAGAGATTGTGTGTTCAGTACACTATACTTCAATAGGGCACTTCCCATTTTCTTCCGATTTCAGTCATGAACAGTGTTATTGGGATCACGCCACCACAATTTTATAACTAAGCCACTACCCATAATTAGCAACGAGTTGGTCTCAGGATGTTTTTCCATGAAATTGATGCTCACATACTGTTCCTACAAAGCTCTGTAAGACGATAAGTAATTCGCACAGTATAACGTCTGATAGGCTAGTCAGTATTGGTGAGAACCAGCAAAAATCTTTTTATTCCAAGTAATCCATACAATCATCTCAAATATGTGAACACATTTTTTGCACACTTACCATCATTTTGTACTCTTCATATGTCCTATAAACTTCACCCTACAAGAATAATTTTTTTTAAATTAGCATGAGAATTAATGCTGCATATGTATTGCATATAAAAAGTGTGCAGGAAAAATCAAGAGAAGGCCAACTCAAAAAGGCGGCAAACAGCCAAGTGCCCTACACACAAACAATTATAAACTCGCAGTATAACCTGTGTTACGTTCATTATTTGGAGTCTAGGAGATAAGAGACCAAAGAAAGTATGGAATTAATTTTACCTTTCAAAGTTTCCTAAATCGAGTCACAAAGTTAACTGCTATACTTTGGTCAACTAAGAGTTACATATATGAAATTATTGGTCCAGATTTTGAACTCATTGAACTAGAATAGTGACTAATAGCTGTTTCTTCTCACCATTTCAGCCACTGTTCATCAAATAATCTTTATCTTAACATATCTAAGTTTTTTTACTCACTGTTCCAAAGTAACTAGAATATCTGTACCACTGACCTCAACCTGTTGTTCGTCACTTAATTATTTAGCCTGGCCAATCATTTGAGAGAACTTTGCACCGTTTCATTGCCCACAACTAACCCCACCATTCTGATAACTGCTTTTTTTTCAGTTGACAACTATGCTTATTTAGTTTATACATTGTTCTGTATTTGCAAACACAAACATTCATATAAGAAAACTGATGTATCAAAACACATTCTATCCCCGACAAAAGAATAAAACTTGCACAACCGTATAATGAAAATGCAAGAAATAAAGCAACATCTGCTCATGGTATTCATTTGTCCATTATCATGTTAGGTTACATAAGTGAGCAAAAGTTGGAAATGGAGTATAATGTGGGAAAATGTAAAGTTGTTCATTTTGGAAGGGAAAGCACAACTAAGGGTCTAGGAAGAACTTGTGGCTCAAATACAGAGAGCTAGCACACAGGTGCATCAGGTAACCAGGAAAGCTAATGGAACTGGCCCTTATTTCAAGGGGGTTGAAGTAAAAGAGTACGGAAGTCTTAATGCTAGTAAGACTGTATCTATCATACTGTGAGCAGTAATGGTCCCCTTATTTAAAGGAAAGATATATTTCATTGCAGGCAATTCAGGCTCGGTCCACTACAATGATCCTCTGTAAGGGATTAATTGTCTAACGAGCATAGGTTAAGCAGGTTGGGACTCCACTTGTTGGAAATTAGAGCAATCAAATATATCACTGAAATATATAGGATTCTTAAGAAGCTTGACAGGGTAAATGCTAAGAGGATGTTTCCCTTCATGGGGTAGTTTAGGACTAGAGGGCATAGTCTCAGACTAAAAGGGTATCAAATTAAGACAGATGGCGAGAAACTATTCCTTTCAGAAGGTTCTTTGGAACTCCTTGCCACAAAGCACTGTGGTTGCTCAGTCCTTGTGTATACTTAAATCTGAGATAGATTTTTAGTCAGTGGGGAAATTGAGGGTTACGGCAAAGGGCAGGCATGTGGACATGAGGAGTGTCAAAGCTGCCATGTTTCCATTGAATGGCAGAGTGGCCTCAAGGGAATGTCTACTCCTGTTCCTATTTCTTATGGTCTTATGTTCCACTTAATAATGTAATGTAGTCTTGTCTGCTTGCAGAAGTAAAAGTTTCACTGATAACGATTTACTCTCACAAAGTAACAGTTGTTCAAACAGCAATTTGATAGCAGGCTTGTTGATCCTTAAGACAAAGAAATGCAATTGAACACTAATAATTAGAAAACCAAGACTGGCTCAGTATTGTTCCCTTGGCTTATAAAGATTTACCAAAGAGGCTGACTGAAAATATATCATTAATACTTGACAAATTCCTTCAAAGCAATGTAGTGTAACGAAAATACAATACTCCAAGTACATTATTACAGTTGTTACACAACTCAATAAGCAACCGTTTTGTATACTTAATAAGATAATTCAAATGGTCTTCTGATTGTGTCTACCACCTAGGATCACAAAAATTCCAAACAAAATTAATGGATAGTCTTGATTGTATCTTTACTCCTTTACTGCTTTGAAATGACAAAGATCAAAACTGGCAAATTTATTTTAGAAAGTGAGTTAAAACAATGAGAATATCTAATCTTTTTACCATCAGTTATATAATTTGCTTTGCTCACTTGAATGGTCTTGATCTGGCATTAGCTCAAATACTATTGTTCTCAATCTTAGTTCTTGCTTTTCATATTGGTATTAGTCACACTGTCAAGATTATGACAAAGAACATCAATCTTACAGCTCCTTATAGGATTGAGGTTTAATAGTGTAAGGCCAAAAGGAATATTAAAGGAACAAATGCTTTTTTATTTGTTCGTGGCCTGTGGGCATTGCTGGCTAGGCCAGCATTTATTGCCTGTTCTTAATTGCCCAGAATGCAGTTAAAAGTGAATTACATTATTGTGGGTCTGAAATCACCTGTAAGACAGACTACGTAAGGATGCAAGATTTCTTTCCCTAAAGGGCATTAGTGAGCCAGATGATTTTTGGGACAATTGGCCATTGTTACATGGTCAACATGAGAGTAGTTTTTCACTTTTTTTTTCAAAATTGAATTCAAATTTCAAAGCCATATGCCCAGAATACTAGCTTGGGTTTCTGCATTAGTAGCCCTTTGACAATACTGCTACATCACTACAATACCTTGCTTTGTATTAAAGAAATAAGGTGTATCTACAGGAATTACGTACAAGACATCTAAAATGCAAAGAAAAGAAAATGAGAGAAAAATCCAAACCATCATTTAATCTGTATTGTCCTCCCCGACGTATGACAGACCAACCCTGTTATTCTCCTCGTCATTCTTCTTTCCTTCCACTTGCTCACAATCCATTACATTTTCAACTTTCCATAATTCTGGTGTGTGGTAACAAACCTGAAATGTTGGTTGAGATAGTGCCAGACTTCTGGAGATAGGCTTGAAGGTGGGGTGCCTTACAAAATGGCACTGAATGTCACTGGAAGGGCACTGAAATCTTCTTACCGCCAGAGGATATTTTTGTGATGGGAACAGTGGTAAGGCAGTTGCACAGCAATGCGAGGCAGGAGGCCATTAAAACTATTAATAGGCCAATAAGGAGTTATTCCCACGCCTGCCAACATTTTAACCAGCATTGGGACAGGATCTTGCCATATGGTGAGACCCCCAGGTAAGCTGTGATGGCTGACCCATGGGTTCCTGTTTAGTCAGGTAGAGGGAAGCATCTTTCATAGCTACTCCATGGCACACAAAGTAGCCCCTCCCAGCAGCAGTGCTGGCTCCAACATCACAACTGGAAGGCTGATGCGAGGACCTGCCTGGCCCTGGTACGTGAAACATAGAAAAGCTTCCTTAGCCTTTGAGGCACCTCAATCCAGAGCTACCCTCAAGCAGTGGGCACTTCTATCAGTGGCACTGTTACAGATGGCAAGTTGCCAGCCTTCTGATTGGGCTGACACCTCAGATTCAAGCCACCCTCAAATAAAATCCCACCTAGATCCTAGTGTGGCCTCGGGCTCACAAATCACTTTTGATCCTGGTCAACTGGAATTGAGAACATTCTGGCCATTAAATGTATTTCGCTTTTACAGGTGGTGGCAGAACTGTTAGTTGTTTCCAGGCTTGGTTTTTATTTCAGATTTCTAGTTTCTTACAGTATTTTGCTTCTGTATTAACATCATACATAGATTTCCTGAGCATGAATCATTTTACGTGCACGAATTAAAAATAAGCAGCACTTTACCACTTTTACAAACAATATAAAATGCATACCAATATCCATAAACATCAAAACATGAGATGTTTTTCAAACCACATGAGCTTGTTAGCTTTCTACAAAGACCATAGCGAAGGATCAGCAAAAAGCTGATGAATGCACCTCTCTGCCTGATCAAGGAGCTGTTAAATTGGCCCAATACCCAGAGAAAATACATAGATACTCCTTGTTAAGAAAACCAGGTTACTCAAGGTCAGAGCAGGCTTTCAGAAATGCTCAAACAGAAGTTACAATGAGGTTTGGCTTTTATGCAGAACATAAAGACTGGCATTTTTTAAACCAGTCATTAGTAGTGACGATATGCATACCAGATGTGAAAACTCAATTAGTGATTGGGATGGCACAAGCACATACCTACAGGATCTCCACTTGCACAAGCACCATGTACTACTTACTAATCTAGTTACCTAGCCTGTGCTCCACTAAAGTACCAATTTGCAAAATCCCATAAAAAAGTGTATAACTAAGAATCTCTGTGTCCACTGGGCTTTGTGTAATTAGTACACTCTTCACACTTCAGAGCCCTAATTGGATTTAACTCCCGTTGATACACTACATTACAAACATGGTACATTCACGCTTGGCAGGGTGGTGAAGGTGGTGTTTGGCACGTTTGCCTTCATTGGCCAGAACAAGGAGTACAAGAGTTGGGACGTCATGTTACAGCTGTACAAAACATTGGGAAAGCCACACTTGGAGTACTGTGCACAATTCTGGTCACCCTGCTATAAAAGGGATATTATTAAACTGGAAAGGGTGCAAAAAAGATTTACAAGAATGTTACTGAGACTGGAGGGTGAGAGTTACAAGGAGAAGCTGGATAGGCTGGGAGTTTTTTTCTCTGGAGTGTGGGGAGGCTGGGGGTTGACCTTATAGAGATTTATAAATCATGAGAGGCAGTGATAAGGTGAATAGCTAAGATCTTTTACCCATGGCAGGGGAGTCCAAAACTAGAGGGCACAGGTTTAAAGTGAGAGGAGAAAGATATAAAAAGGACCTGAGGGGTAACTTTTTCCTGCAGAGGGTGGTGCACATATGGAATAAGCTGTCAGAGGAAGTATTGGAAGCCAGTACAGTTACATCATTTAAAATACATTTGGATAGGTACAGAGGGAGGAAAAGTTTAGAGGGATATGGGTCAAATGCAGGCAAATGTGACTAATTTAGGAAATCTAGTTAGCATGGACAAGTTGGGCAGAAGGGTCTGTTTCCGTGCTATATGACTCAACAATTCAAAGGCAGCCTTCATCCCTGAAAGGTTGAGGGTCACTTCAGGAGTAAATCAGTCTGGTTAAAGAGTGAACAATCAGTGACCACACAAGAGAGTGTGTACTAAGGTTCTCAGACAATGCAGCAGAAGAGTTGGCATGGTGGAGGAAAGCCCTGTATGCACTTGGGGACAGAAGGTCACCTGGAAAAATGTTTAGGAGCCAGTGGGAAGAAGTAGCAGTGAGGGTCTCATTGCAATACCGTAGGAAGTTAAAAGAGCTGTCCAGATCAGTGGATTCATATTTAAATGGCATATCCTACCACCACACCTAAGCCTCAGCTCCCGTTCAATTCACTAGATTCAAATCACCAACTACCAACATTTCAGACTCAATCCTACCATTCATGTGCTTTATGACAGCCTCACACATTAGCATCGTAGGAAACCAAGTAACTCAATTCATTGAATAGTAACTAGTCTTTGCATATAATCAGAACAGTCTCAGCACAGGACATTCACAGAAAGGATGAGCGTGCCTACATGTGTTAGGCCCAAAGGAGGAGACAGCACAGGTCATCATGAGAAAGCACCACAAAGGCTGTAACCACAGGCAGAGAAGTAATCAATGATCAATTTATCAGTATACTAATCCATTGTCTATCATTCTATTTTCCCACACACCCATAAATCTTTTCTGAAAAACCTATTTGCCCACATCCTCACCATTTCACCTACAACAGATACACCTGTGTAGGACAGTACTGGTAACAGTGACCACTGTCAGGTTCTTATGGGGATTAAATCAAGCTTTCACATAGATGACACCTCCACCATGTTGTGTGGCACTGCCACAATATTAAATGGGATACATTATCAAGTAGTTCAAAAGTGGGAATCATGAAGCATTGTCAGCCATCAGCAGTAGAAGGATACAGTGTTCAGCCACAATCTACAATCTCCTGGTCCAACACAGCCTCTCCATTCTTCTTCTTTTCTGTCAAGCCAAGGGACCAATCCTGGTTCAATGCTCCTGCATACCAAAAGTAGCTCAAGACATATATAAAAATTAGACACCAACCTCACAAAGCTACAACCCATGATCACATGCATGATAAACAGCAGAGACTGCATGAAATTGAGCCAGACAATTCCACATCAAACAGATCAGATCAAATCAAAGCTTTGTAATGCTGTCATTTTCAATTGTGAATAGTTGCAGTCAATTAGCAACTAACCTGTGGAGAAAGCTCCATGAATCACCACAACCTGAATTATGGTAGAGTCCAGCATGTGACAAAGCTAGAGGATTTGAGATATGAGGAAAGACTGGACAGGCTGAAGTTATTTTCCCCGGAGCAGCGAAGATTGAAAGGGGACCTGATATAGGTACATAGGATGGGCAGGAAGGCACCTTTCCATTAATAGAAGGGTAAACTGAGACAGAGTTGGTCCCCTGGCTTGATGGCAGGGATATGGTGGACCGTAAAATCATAAACTGTGCCTTAATACAATCCTTCTGCTGCTTCACAATGCCCACTTTTGAGCTGCTTGTTCTATTATGAATTATGAATCTAGCTCAGTTAACACTGTGGCAGTGCCACGCAACATGATTGAGGTGCCATCAATTCAAAGCCTTGATTTAATCTCCTATTGGACCATTGGCCACTTCACAAACAGGTGATAGATTTAAGTTAAGAAGTTGGGGCTAAGGGGAGACTTGAGGAGATATCTTTTTCTCACCTACGGAATGTATTGCCTGAAAGAGTGACCAAGTCAGAAACATTTGTAACATTTAAGCAGTATTTAGATATTTACTTGTATTGCTGTTACTGCCAAAGCCATGGGCCAAGAGCTGGCAACTGGAATTACTGTAGACAAATCTTTTTGACTGACGTAGACTTGTTGGGCCAAATGGCCTCCTTCTGTTGATGCCCATGCGTCTATAATTGCCAAATGGATGAACCAACCTGTTCCCTCCTGAGTTCTCCAAACATCACAGAAGCCAGCTTTCACCAATGTGACTCATTCCACTTGTTGTAAAGCGGCAGCTAAACACGCAGAATGATGGGAGGACAGGAGTTACACAAAATTAGGTATTTTGCTACGACTTACATACTTTGAGTGTCCAAAGCCTTTTCACCATCAACATGGAGAAGTCAGGTATGCAATGGAATGAGTGCAGTCCAAAATCCTCAACAGGCTCAAAACCAACCTAGTCAAAGCATGTCACACAGCATGGAGCTGGAGCAACACAGCAGGCCAAGCAGCATCAGAAGAGCAGGAAAGTTAATGTTTCGGATCAGGACCTTTCTTCAGAAATTTCGGAGGGAAGAGGAAAACTTCTTCAAGGTGGGCATCCTTAGAAGAGGGTTCGCAGTGGGGTTATAACTCACTCAGAGAGAGTCTGGAGACAGGAGGACAACTTCTTCAAGGTGGGCATCCTCAGAAGAGGCTTCGCAGTGGGGTTACAACTCACTCAGAGACACTGTCACTTAGTCAAAGCAGGTCACTTGATTGGCACTCCATCTGCCTATACACTAAATTAGAGAGGAGGGGTAATGTTACTTATGTGGATGAACATTCACTTCTTCCAACAGTCACAGTGCTATTGCATGTAATGTTTACAAGATGTTGCTTCGTTGTACAGAATTAGACCATTACTGAAAAGATACATCGAGTCATACAGCACAGAAACAGACCCTTCGGTCCAATCAGTCCATGCTGAACATAATCCCAAAACAAACTCGTCCCATCTGCCTGCTCCTGGCCCATAACTCTCCAAATCTTTCATATTTGTGTACTTATTTAAGTGTCTTTTAAACGTTGTAACTGTGCCCGCATCCACCATTTCGTCAGGAAGTTCATTCCACACACTAACCACTCTCTGTTGAAAAAAAATTGCCCCTCATGTCTTTTTTAAAATCTCTCTTCTCACCTTAGTACCCCGAAGTCTTGAAATCCCAATCCTAGGGAAGACACCTACTCCTCATAATTTTATAAACTTCTATATTGTCACCACTCAACCTCCTACGCTCCAGCGGAAAAAAGTTCAGCCTATCCAGCCTTCCTTCATAACTCAAACCTTCCATACCCAGCAACATACTGGTAAATCTCTTCTGAACCCTCCCCAGCTTAATAATATCCTTCTTATAACAGGGCGATCAGAACTGGATGCAATACTCCAGAAGATGCCTCAGCAATGTCCTGTACAACCTCAACATAACGTCCCAACTCCTATACTCAAAGGTCTGAGCAATGAAGACAAGCGTGCAAAACATCTTGTTAAACCACCCTGTCTACCTGTGATGCAAACTTCAAAGAATTATGTACCTGAACCTCTAGGTCCCTCTGTTGAGGCTGCTTCCAGGTAGCATATTTCATTCAAATAAACAAACATTCTGTTTCTTTCTAAGTGCCATTGCAACAATGTGAAATGTTAAATAAACTAACTGTCTAAACTTCTAAATGAATTGTTGCAACCATGAGAGTATTGTACGTTGTATCTAAGAGCATTTGATGCTGCAATGCTCTACTTCTACTAATATTTTATCTAATATTTGCCTTTTTGAGTACATTATAGCAGAGTTATAAGTTTTAAAATTGCAGAGGGCACTGACGTCATCCTGACAGTAGCACACATGTACTCCTGAAATGGCTACGCCCTAAACAAGCTGATCCAGGACAATTACAACATTGACATCTGTCCAACAATGTTGCTGCTTAAGCTTCTTGACTTGCACTTTGCAGAACAAATGCAAGAAACAACAATTTAAACTACAGGATGAAAGGGCGCTGCTTGATTAGCATATCAACTCTAATTCTCTACAGCAATGCCTCAGTCAAAGCGATAACGGACTATCATTTCTGCAAGATGCCTGGTACATTACCAAAACCTTAAAGGTTGAATATTTTCTTTCTGTTTGCAGAGAACAGGTCCTTGCATTTGAATGCATGTCACATTAAGCAAGTGCAAATTAACCACGTTAAGAGCTGGACTGAGTGTCATAAATTGGTGGATTTTGTACTTATTAACACACTCAGAACTGTTCAGCAGGTATTGCCCAATCTTCAAAGCACACCTAACAGCAAACACTGTGTTTTGGGTATTGCAAGTGCAGGACGTCTCAGCACCATCTATATACTCTGCCTATTACATATAATCAGAGGAACCGCAGACTTGTCCAGACTACGTTCCCTCCCAAGTCACACACCATCCTGAATTGGAAACAATCACTGATCCTTTCACTGTCAATAGGTCAAAACCTTGGAACTCCCTATCTAAAGGCACTGAAGGTGTGTCTACACAACATGGACTGCAGCAGTTCTAAAAAAATGGCTCAGCACTGCCAATGAGGGAAATTAGGGATGGCCAATAAATGCTTGCCTCATTAAGAATGCCCTCAACTCATGAACAACTCAAGTATCGAACTCCAAGAAGCTTCCTGCACCGTTAAGCTCTACCTACTGTTGCAACATGGAGTACAGTACATTGTGGACTGGAAGACAGGATGTTAAAATTTGTTGTTTTTAAAATGATAAGGGGAAGGCAGTGCATGGTCCCTTTAAAAGAAGATGTGCTTTTCTAGGCTTGGAGATTAAAAAAAATGTCTGTGGGCAGCTTGTGGGTTTGCAGGTGCACAGACAGCACCTGAATTGTAACATTTGTAACAAAAGGCTGGATGGTTAGCAGGCCAAGCTGCAGTTTTGTTTTGTTGTCAAGACAACAAATTTGAATTTAGCCAATTAATTTAAACCAGGCACTTAGATACTAACAATCAATTAGGTTTAGATCTGATGGTTTTGACAACATAGGACCAATCCTGTTGTAAGAAATTGATATGTCATCAAGGGTTTAAAAAAAAACAGGGACAGTTACAAAATTAACAGAGCCATCTGCTAAGAGAAAGCATCATCTAAATAAAGGTACTGGGGCATACTTAGTTAACATTCCTGACAAAAGAATTTGACGAAGAAGGCGATCCTGACATAAGATCAATGGAGAAGATGCAGAACATTCCAGAAGACGTAACCTGGCTGTAATTTTTTTTTTTATTTTGGTTTATACAAGTGGGGCTTGTATTTATTAGAACAGCATACCATTAGAATTTTGTTTTCATGAATAGTTAGTAGTTAGAAGGTAATTGTTTGGTTTGTTAATAGTTTAGTTAACTTGTTCACTATTAAAGTTAGACAAATAAATTGTTACTTGTTGATTGTAGAGTGAGTGTTGGGAGTTTATTTCATTTAACCACCCCTTTGTAACAGATTGGGGCTGAGAAGCAGGTTATACCACTTTTCACACTTTTATTAACAGATTATAGGGCAAGGTGAGCCTCTCTGGGTGTTTTGGTTTAAGTTATCGGGGTGGGGTCAACCTCCACTTTATGACACTATGCTTCCAGGTGGTGCAACTGGTCCACTTTGTGATCCGAACTTGTGGCTGTGGTACAATCACTTCATGGAATCTGAGATCCAGAAAATGTTCAGCCATCTACTACGCTTGAATTCAACCACCTAGAGGCAGATACTGCATACATGGACCAGGTGAAAAGTCTGAAGTACTCACATGCCAGAGAATTTGCAGGCTACACATTATGAACATATCTCCATTTTATTTTGGAACTTGGAAAAAAAAATCTCGTTAGATTTAGTGATTATTTAATTGTTGTTAACACTTCTGAACTATTTAAACACACCAATTCGCATTGCTATTTTTCTATTTGCTCCGCAAAGTGAACAAAGCAAAGACTAATTAGTTGCTCAAAATTAACACAAAACATTTACACCTCTAAAACACCAGCCATCTAAAAACTTACCTCAGAGAGCTCTGTTACTCTGGCTTCACTCCTTCGAGTTGGTTTTGGCTTGAGTTGAGTTTCTTAGGTTTCCCATGTCATTGGAGGCTCTGGTGTTAGTCAGTCCTCTCTTTTTTGGCCACAGACTCGCATGGCAAGACTCTTGCTCGGACTAATGGCATCTGTTCTCCTATTAAAATTAACCACCCTTGCACATTACTATTTTGAAATGAACTTTCTTTTTATTCATCCAGTCTACAAGCTTTCTTCTTTGTTCTTTACTCTTTTTTTATGGGATGTGGATGCAGCTGGCATGACCAGCATGGATTGCCCATCCCTAACAGCTCTTGAAGCAAGTGTCCTGCTAGGTCATTACAGAGGGCAGCTGTGTCACATGTAGGCGAAACCAGGCAAGCAGGATTTCCACCCCTAGAGGACAATTAGTGACCGACACTGCTTTCAGGGTTAACATTGCCCTGCTGAGCTTTCAAATCCGGACATTTATTAATCGAATTTAAGTTCTCCCAATTGTTGTGACGGATTTTGAGCCCATGTTCCAAGAGCATTAATTCAACTGGGCCTCTGGTTCAGCAACATTAACCTACACTATCAAAGTTGATTCCTTCCTGTATCTTGAAACAATCTTTTATGTTTGTAGTTGCATGAACCCGACCTCTGCTCCCCAGTTTTGATACCACCTGCTAATTTGAACATTGTTCTCTCAATACTTTCATGCCCATTTTAATCCAACAGCCTACTGTCATCTAAATCTGGACTGTCCAAATTGCTGTCATCTAAATCTGGACTTCCAAATTACTGTCACAAGATGTTCATAGTCAAAAAGTGCCATTTCTATCTGTCTCAAAACCCAAATAAATCGTCACTTTTATATACCTGTACATATTTGTTTGGAGGAGCTGGCAGTTTGGAAATTTCAGCTTTCTGATCTATGCTTTATCAGTGAATTTACAGCCCTGGGAACACATCAACCGAAACTAACTGGCCTGTACATCTCAAAATGACAAACAAAAGATCCATAGGAATACTGTAAAATTAAATCAGACTTTGGGAAGGAAGTTTAGAATTTATGGGCAGAATTTTATTGGCTTAGAACTTTCTTCCAAATCTTCTGGGCTATTTATGGGTTGCTGGAACAGTTGCTCTTACCCCCAGAGCAAAACAACTAAGTCTCCCACCCCCCCCAGTGTAGATGGTCTTCATCCTATGCTCTTAAAAGAAATAGCTAGTGACATAGTTGATCCATTAGTTTTAATTTAACAAAATTCCCTATATTTCAATTAGCAAGTAGCAAACGTAACTCCTTTATTCATGATACTGGCCAGCTCCTAAAATTCTGGAAGCTATTATTAAAGACACTGCAGCAAAGCACTTGAAGAAAATTCAAGACAATCAGAGTCAATATGGTTTTGTGAAAGAGAAACCATATTTAATTTAATGGAACTCTAAGAAATTATTATTAACTGCAGATAAAGAGAACCAGTGGATGGGCTATACTTACACTCCCGCAGAAAATAAAAAGTCTTATGGTGTACGGGACAAAATATTGACATGGATAGAAAATGGGATTGCTAACAGGAAATAGACAGAAATAAACATAAATGGTAAACTGAAATGAGTGTTGTGCCACAGAAATCAGTGCTGTAGCCTCAACTTTTTACAAATAACGTAAATGACTTGGATGAAAGAACTTAAGGTATTGTTGCCAAGCTTACTGATGACACAAAGATAGTTTGGAAAGTAAGTTGTGAAGAGAATATTACAAAAGGTTATAGACAGGGTTAAGTGATTGGACAAAGATCTGGAAAATTGAAATAATGTAAGAAAACATGAAATCTGCCATTCTGGTAGGACAAACACAGAAGTAGTACATTATCTAAATGATGACAGATTGCAAAGCTCTGAGATACAGAGGGATCTGGTATTCTTTTGCATGAAATATAAAATATTGGCATGAAAATACAACAAGTAATTAAGCTAACAGAATGTTACCATTTCCTGTAAAATGTGTTTAATACAAAAGTTGGGAGGCCATCCTCCAATTATTCAGGATGCTGGTGAGACCTGAAAACGTACTCAAGGAAGGATGCAAATTTATTGAGAGCAGTTCAGAGAAGGTTTCCTATATAATATCTGGAGATTGGCAGAATCATAGAATCCCGACAGTGTGGAAGTAGGCTATTTGGTCCATCAAGTCCACACAAATCTTCGAACAGCATTTCACTCAGCCCCAGCGCCAGCCCCCACTCTAGCCCAGTAACACTGCATGTTCCATGGCTACTCTAACTAGGCTGCACATCCCTGGACACTGGTCAATTCACCTAACCGGAGCCAACCTGGCCAAAACATGCAAGATCCTAGTTATTTGACAGGGCGCGCATAGAGAGGAAGTTCTCTCTTGTAGGTGAATCTAGAAGTAGATGTCACTGCGTTTTTTAAAAAAGAGTTGCCTACTTAAGACTAGGACAAGGAGAACTTTTTCTCCTCATATCATAGAAGGCCATTGAAACTCTGAAAAGGCACAGTCTTTGAATATTTTTAAGGCAGATTGTTCATAAGCAAGGGGGTGAAAAGTCATCAGGCTTAGGCAAGAACATGGGATGATCAGAACTGGTTTGTCTTACAAAATGTCAGAGCAGACTGGAGGAACCAAGTGACTGACTTTGCTGCTAATTCATCTGCCTCAGAAATGCCCAATTAGGAAGAATCACAGAGTCAGAGTCATTCAGTCACAGGAAGATTTTTTCACTAAAAACTTCCGGAGTTCTGACAAACGGTCAGTAATCCGAAACATTAAAATCTGTTTCTCTCCACATGGTGCCTGGATTATGAGTCTTGATGCATGTTCTGCTTTCATTTCAGATTTCTGCCACCTGAAGTATCATACTTTTGCGTTGCTTCCATACTTATTACAAACTGTTTCGTTCACCACATTAGTTTTTATCAGGGTAGAGTTAGTTTCAGTTTCCATTAATGAGACATAACGGTCTGGCACTGTCAAAGCAGAATGTGAACCTGACCTTTCATTCTTCCACTTGACCTGTTCACAGGATTAAACATAATCCGGCTATAAAAACAGCAGGAATACTCCACAGCTATGTTATACTATTCAAAATGAATAATGCGAAAATAGATTATACTAGTTTACTGATCAGTTTCTGAACAATGAAACGAAATTCCACTGATTTCCCTTCTTGAGAATAGTAGGAACATACAGACAACCGTATTTATTAGGAGCAGTAGACTTTTCTGCCCTTTAAAGAGATCTTGGGGTGCAGGTTCATAGTTCCTTGAAAGTGGAGTCGCAGGTAGATAGGACAGTGAAGAAGGCATTTAGTATGCTTGCCTTTGTTGGTCAGTGCATTGAGTAACGGGGTTGGGAGGTCATGATGCGGCTGTACTGGATGTTGATTTGGAATACTGCATGCAATTCTGGTCTCCCTGCTATAGAAACGATATTGTGAAACTTGAAAGGGTTCAGAAAAGATTTACAAGGATGTTGCCAGGGTTAGAGGGTTTGAGCTACAGGGAGAGGCTGAATAGGCTGGGACTATTTTCCCTGGACCGGAGGCCAAAAGGTGACCTTATAGAGGTTTATAAAATCATGAGGGGCATGGATAGGGAAAATAGACAAGGTCTTTTCCACAGGGTAGGGGAGTCCAAAACTAGAGGGCATAGGTTTAAGGTGACAGGGGAAAAGATTTACAAAGGACCTAAAGGGCAACTTTTCCACGCAGAGGGTGGTGCACATATGGAATGAGATGCCAGAGGAAGTGGTGGAGGCCGGCACAATTATAACATTTAAAAGGCACCTGGATGGCTATATGAATAGGAATGGTTTAGAGGGATGTGGGCCAAATGTTGGCAAATGGGACTAGATTAATTTAGGATATCTGGTCAGCATGGACAAGGTGGACTGATGGATCTGTTTCCATGCTGTACATCTCTATGACTCTAACTAAATATAGCCTGGCTTCAAACTGTTAATGTTCACCTCTCCCTTGTAACTTTTGCAACAGAGTTCAAAATATTCCCCACTCCCAAAGATGCATATTGAGAAATAAATAATACTGCCCAGCTTAAATTTCTCAACAACAAAAACAAAGTTGCTGGAAAAGCTCAGC